TCCCCCCCCCCCCAGAAGTGACAAGGCTGCAAGATCTCAGCCTTCAGCTCTTCAGTACTGTTTTCCACCACACAAGTTAAAAATTGTTGATGCTCATCAATGCCAGATTTAGTCAGCAAATATTTCAGTTCTAAAGGAAACTGAAGTCTAGGAGGTTCAGAAACAAGTCAGGAAATGCCTGTTTGCACCAGCTGTTTTCCTCTGTGAGCTGCTGCACAGGGTAACACAGGGTTTAAGGGGTGACCAGTGGTTCTTCACACCTCTGCCTCCTTGGGTCTTCACTGGGGGTTTCACGTACCCTGGCACGCAAGGCAAATGCTTACAAAGACAAGAGACCATGTGCTAGGTTGGAGCACGGTCTGCAGTGTCCAGAGTTTACTCTGTACAGTTGTAAATGATGTAGATGGATTATAAGTTATTTGTATAGGTGTCAGAGATGATCTGTATCAGAAGGTGCAATGCTTTTAATGCCAATTAAAAAAAAAAAAAACCAAAACAAAACCAAAAACCAGCAGAAACTGTCAGTTTTGTTGTTTTTTTATGTTTGCATGTGACTGGGGTGGGTGGGGAATAAGCTGTTAGAAAAAAAAGACATCAGTGTCATTTGGCCCTCTATAGCTGATGTCTTCTCCCCAAATATGTCACAGAGAGACAGACTTGGTTGTGAAGGGATGGGTAGAAATGGCTGGATTGCAGAAATGTACAAGCATTTAATGTGGAACTCTATAATCCCCATGCTGGCTGGCCACTGAGTCCCCTCTGTGCTGGTACACTGTCCCCACAGCCTGTTCCCCTCAAAGTCTGTCACTTCAAAGCACCCCATTCCCTCAGTGGGGCTGGCACTGGGCCCAGCATGTATAGGCTTGGGCTGGAAAAGGGGTGAAACGCTGGCTTTCTCCAAGTGCCTTGTAAAGGCCGCTGATCCCACTGACCACAGGAGATGCTCAGTGGTAGTGCAGAAATAGTTCATGAACTCCTGTTAATGAATTATCACAAAAGAGAATTTCACAGGTTATTTACTCCTGGGAACTGTAGGCAGCTAATGCAGATCACAGAGCAACCATAGCGCAGGGAAAGTGTTCAGGTATACCCTGTACCCTGGAACTGCTGGCTTCAGAGCAGAGCATCTTCGGCAAGGGGCTGGGTGAAAAGCCTGGAGGAACATGGCAGGTGGCCCTCAAGGGGAAAAGGGTGGGCACGATTGCCTGGAGACTGGGAAAGCGCAGAAATCTGAGTGCAGCATGCATTCATAAAGGACAGAGCCTTGCAGGCAGGGCTTGCAGACACAAACCATCCTGGCACAGCTGTGTTAGGGTTTTACTGGGCAGGACTCCCCACATCTCTCCAGCTCACTGGATAGACAGCCTTTCAAAGTCCCTCCTGAATACATTTATTTAAAGCCATTATATCATGCTTGTCTTTGTTACAGCAAAATGCCCCCATCTCTCTCTGGGTGTCCAGCTCGATGCCGAGCAGAGGCGCAAAGACCTCTCCAGTGGATGGTGGCTGGCACTAAGGTGGTTTGGCCAGAGTCCGCGTGTGTCCCTGCATGGTGGCTTGCTGTGTCACCCCATGGTCCCGCTGAGTCATGCCAGGTTTGGCTCCCAGCATGAGTCACTGCTGCCTCCTCCTCCTGCACAGACCTGGACCAGCCTGGGTGGCAAGCAGTGCTATGGCGCTTGCAGGTAGTTAAGGCAATCCCCAGCCAGCTGCCAGTGAGATCTGCATTCTGAACAACCTCCTTCTTCCATCACCTCTCCTGAAACACCGCCTAGGACAACCTGAAAACACCCACTGGCTGTAAATTATTAAACACACAGAGGCGATACGAATCGCCTCTTTTCCAGGGAGCATTTTGTACCAAAATTAAAACCTTCAGAGGCAGAACAAACTCAGGAATAAGAAATCCTGGTATAGATCGTTTTTATGTATGGAAATAAAATGCATCTCCTACCAGCTCCGTGTGAAAACCTACAGACTGATCGAGGGGGAGGACAACATTGCGTGGCCACTTAACGGTGGATCAATGTGTCTTCGTCATACAGCCTCCCCAGCAGCGCCGCTGCAAGGTGCCAGGAATAAATCAGCTCTAACAGCGCTGTTCACAGCCCTATCCATATTTCATATCCCACCGGGGTGATTTCAGTAGCTCTCTGCTCAGGCAGCCCTTCTCTTTTCTTAGCTGAACTTGCTGAGCCTCTGCAGGCACCCAGTGTCCAGGCAGTCCTGCCTGCCTTTGCCCTGCTGCACTCAGGACAGACTGTAAAACTGGATGAGGGCAGCCTTCAAACACTGCTGGGATAAACGCAGAACAGAAGAAAAGCCCCTCTTAAAGGTGTTTCAAAGTAAGGAAGATGTGATCTTCCCATGTCTTGCTTCGTGTCCATTAAAATCAAGGCTCTGCTGGTTTCTGTGCTGAGCTACACTGTTGGCATGTGTTTTCTGGGTGACCCCAGAAGCTGGAAGCAACTCCATGGGATGTCAGTGTCATGACAGCTCCTGTGAACAGTCTGCATGAACACAGAACACGACATGCAGAACAGCCTGCTACAAAGCACTGTAGTAAAGAAGGACTATGAACGCATCATTCAATGCATGGGAACAAAACCAAAGAGTCTGTGCTGAAAGAAGGGTATTCCTCATCATGAATGATGATTTAGGAGATCTAACTGCACTGAGCTTCTGAATTCAGTGATTCATGAGCCTATTTATACATGTTTCCTTGCATCGTGCCCACTGTGCCACAGCAGAGACATTGCCATGAATGTCAGGGCTTCTGCAGACCACCAGCACCTGAATAACTGCTCCCTTATGGAGTTGCATGGTGTAAACGCTCAGCAGCCAGCCCTTCCCGAGCTCTGCAGGGCTGGAAAAGAGAGGAACAGAGCAAAGGCATTAGCACAGAATGGAGCTGTGAGCAGAGAGCTGTGGGGGCCAGGGGATGTAGCTGCAACCCTGGGGCAGCTGCCCCAAAGCAGCTTCAACCACCAGTGTGTGAAATTCACTTGGGAACACCCCGGATAGATGAAAGCCGGGGCTGCTGCAAGGAGGGATTGCTGTGGGAATAGGATGTAAATTTGTTTTCTAACCTTCATAGAAATAAGCCTTAACAGTCCTGGGAGCCAGACTGGCTGACTTCTACAAAGGAGTGACGGGGTTAGGTTATAGTCCCTGTGATAGGGGAGGGGCTCTGGCTGCCCAGACCATGGGACCTGTGAGCAGGCAGGGGACAGATGCTGCAGATGGGCAGGGTGCAGGCCAGCCCTGACGGGGATGAGGAGGGATGGAGGGAGCTCCTACACCTAAGCAAAGCGTCTCGAACAAGACCCAGTGCCAGGCCAATGCCTTTACAGAATCACGGAAATGTCTAGGTTAGAAAAGACCTTAAAGATCATCCAGTCCAACCATCAACCCAACATTAACAGTTCCCCAACTACACCAGATTGCTCAGCACTGGTTCAACCCTACTCTTACTTCCAGGGGTACTCCACCACCTCCCTGGGCAGCCCATTCCAACACACAACAACCTGTTCTGTAAAAAATGCTTCCTAATATCTAGTGTAAACCTTCCCTGGTGAGCTTGAGTCCATTCTCTCTTGGCCTGGTGCTGGTTCCTTGGCTCAAGAGACTCATCCCCCCTCTCTGCACCCTCCTGTCAGGAAGTTGCAGAGGGCCAGGAGGTCTCCCCTCAGCCTCCTCTTCTCCAGACTAAACCCCCCCAGTTTCCTCAGCCGCTCCCCAGCAGACCTGTGCTCCAGACCCTGCCCCAGCTCCGTTGCCCTTCTCTGGACACGCTCGAGTCATTCAATGGCCTTTTTGGGGTGAGGGGCCCAAAACTGAACACAGGAATTGGCCTCACCAGTGCTGAGCACAGGGCTCATATCCGTTCCCTGTCTCTGCTGGCCACGTTAGTGCTGATGCAAGCCAGGATGCCATCAGCCTTACGGCACTGCAGTGACCCGCAGCGTTGCCCAGGGCAGATCGGTGTCCCCCCACAGCGTGGGGCTGAAGGCAGGAGGGTTATGTTGCAGGGGAGTGGGCTAGAGAGTAGCCAGTGCCAGGGGGTTGCCTTGCTTGGAAACATATAGTGTGGAGCTGATGAGATTTTATATGAAAAAGGGAAAGCATTTCCTCTCTGCTTTGTGACCAGCATGGAAGGGTTTGATTCTCAAAATCTATCCTGACTCTGAATTGAAGAGTTCTGCTTCTTTTTTTCACTTACGGAGAAACACTGCAGAAACAAAGTCTCCTTTTGGGACCTGAACAAAGTTGGAACATTCCTGACACCACTTCAGGGAAAAAAATCCTCCGTGTCCCTTATTTTGTGAGAGGTGGCAGAGCCGTTCTGCTCCTCTTTACAGTCTGGGACACTCCAGCAGGAACTGCCTGGCAGGGGAAGGCACGAGGGGAAAGACCCTGGAGCAGTTGACTCCAAGGCCACGGACACCCCACAGCCATGGGCACCCATGTCCTACCCCATGGTGGCCAGCGCCTTGATCCACAGTCTGTAAATCTCCTTCCCTCCAGGATAAGGATAACAATAAGTAATTTAAGGACCGAAACCAAACGTTAACGTGGACGGGAAGCATTAAATCTGAACTCCATATTCAGGCTGGGGCTCGCAGTCAGTTTCGCAGGCCCATGTACCGAAGCCTGGCTCTGTGCCCGACACCTCCCAACACTCTCCCGGCGTCGCGCACCAGGCGGGATCCTCGGCCTCGCCACGGCCCGCAGGATCCTTGTGCCCCCGGGAGGTGGCGGCGGGGG